AACCATGATTAACCCTGATGAACTCTTTCTAAAATTCTCCTCCAGGAAGTATTTGTGGTGTTTGCCAGGAAACGGCGACAGAAAACATTTTGTGATCCTTCTTTCTCAAAATGACTGGATAGATGACCCATTAGGACTGGGTGACTGAAACAGGAACTCGATCTAATGCCTCATTTCCTTCCAGAGATGAGACAAGCTTTATGGCTTGACCTCCCTCTCCCAACAGGATCTCTCTCTTTCTACTCTGGTCATGTTGTAATCTCACACTTCACTGTCTCACTTAATCCAAAAATAATATCAAACACATTAGTAAAGGCAAAGGGCTGGAAAATCCAATTTGAAAACCACACTGCGAGCTCCTGGACGTGATCATTCCATATTTGTGGTGTCATGTGGGGTTTTACTAAACATTTGTCTTAAATGGGAGGGGAAAAGCAACAGAGGAGGCAGGTGAAAGCAAGAGGTGAGCAGAGCATTTCGTTTGAAATCTCCACAATGGTGAAGTAGAAAAGTTTGCTTCTGGGAAGTAAATTAAAGAACAATTGAATCTCATCCAGCCGACCAAAGTTTGGTTCTCTGTAAAAACCTCTAAGGAACCTTTAAAATATGTTTGCTGTTGACAGTTTATTTAATTTTCTCAGCAAAGTTATTGGCCCCTCCAGGAACATCGCTCCGAGAATCTCATTGCTGGTTTAGTGATTGTTTCAGTGATTGGGTTGAGACAAAATTTTCAGCTTGAAAGTCTGGAGTGACTGGATGGCACCTAATGAGTTTTACACAAACATGGACAATCCTCAGGGTATATCGCTTCGTGACCTCGCAGGTTCTCTCTATTCTTACCATGTAGCACTTGAAAAACTAAATGTTTGGTTCATTCTTGCAATTCGTTGAAGAAATTGATAGTTTTCTGAGGAAGATGAGATAAATTTCCTCCAAGTGTCATACCCTAGTCTGGATTTTATCATCTGAAATCAATGTTGGCCTGAGATTGATGTCGACTGGAAGATCGAATTTCTGGGGATTTGTGAGGTCACAACTGACAAGCAATCTGAGCCGCATCTTCGAGACTGTAACCAGACCATGGGACCTGTTGCCACTCTTTAGTGTTTTTTTTTTGTTTTTTTTTGTCAAGACAACTAAAAATAACTGAACAGAAGCAACTATTGCTTGAAGGTAGATTGAAAAGATGAAAGTCATCAGTCAAGATTCACACCAGATGGCAAAAAGTGACTTAAACTATACCTGTGACCACTTACCAAATTTAAAGGAATAAACTAATGAATGAATCAATGTTTGATCCATCCATCCATTTTCCATCACTCTTATCCCAGTTGGGGTCATGAAGGGTGCTGGTGCCTATCTCCAGCTGTCTACGGGCGAGAGGCCGGGTACACCCTGGACAGGTCGTCAGTCCATTGCAGGGCAACATATTGACAAACAGAACGCACAACTATTCACACTCACACCTAAGGAGAATTTATAGAAGTCAATGAACCTAACAGTCATGTGGGAGGATTCAAGGGTACCCAGAAAGAACCCATGCATGCACAGGGAGAACATCCAAACTCCATGCAGAAAGGGGATGGGCTGGAAATCGAACTCAGAACCTTTATGATGCAAGGCAGCAGTGCTACCCACTGTGCCACTGAGCATTCAATGATTTAATGAAAGATGCAATCAAAAATGTATAAGAACATCAGAAAATGAACTCTTACTCTTGCCCCTCTGTCACAGTATTATCACCGTGTAGTAGGGCTGGGTGATATGACCTCTCATCAATATCATCATAAACTGGGCGGTTATTCCTCGATAATGATAAAAGCACGATAAATGCTTCAGCTCCTCTGTCAGAAATAGGGGGGACAGGGTGCCTATTGGGTCAGTAAGGGAACTGGCTCCCTGGGAGAACCCTCTTCCCCAGTTATTTGCTCCTCATCTCTGTGGCTTCCCCTCACCTGTCTATCACACTACCACACACACAGGAGCTTGGGGAGCCAGGGTGGGTCCTCCCATGCTGGCAGAGATGGCAAAAGTACTCACTTTCCATACTTGAGTAAAAGTACAGATACTTGTGTTAAAAAATACTCTGGTAAAAGTGGAAGTACTGATTAAACTTCTTTACTCAAGTAAAAGTAACAAAGTACAGGCTTGTAAATTTACTTAAAGTATAAAAGTAAAAGTAGGAACCACTTTTTTCATGCCGTTGCCTATATTTTAAATGGATGTCTGCCAATAGGACTAGATCTCCGTTGTGTTCGTTTTCAATCATCTCGTCGTCCATGCTACTATGCTAACGCCACCGCCACCAAGCTGCAATGATTTGCCGCCAATGAATACCGCCGAATCTGTCGATTCATCTTGTAGTGGTGCGTCAAATGCAACGTAGATTCCCATCCAATTAGATTGAATTTGGTATTGATGACGTGAAAAATAATAACGGTAACTCCATTGAAATGATTAAAAACTAAAGTAACAAGCCAATTTTTTTAAATGTAAGGAGTAGAAAGTACAGATATTTGTGTAAAAATGTAAGGAGTAGAAGTAAAAAGTCACCATAAAAATAAGTAGTAAAGTAAAAATATCAGAAAAATCTACTTGAGTACAGTAACGAAGTATTTGTACTTCGTTACTTCCCATCTCTGCATCCTGGTGAAGGCACATGCCCCAGTTTTAATAAACACCTTAGTCAATATCATTCATAACATTTCCAAGAATCCTGCTTCAGTAGGTTGAGCCAAACATACTCAAAATGTGCAGGGTCATCTTTGAGCACGCCATTGCACTTTACTGTCACCAGTTCACAGCAGTTCTTCCAGCAGTCCACACTTTCTCTGCTCTCTTTTTCTCATCATCTTGTTTCCCATCGCCCAGGTTGCCAAAGGTTTGCCTGCTGTGTCTGAAAGTAGCTAGAAGCAGCAACCCAGACTGACAGCAGCTCATTGGATAATTTGTATCACGTGCAGCCTGGTCCCGACTCCAGAAGGCTTTACCATATTACAAGGAGAAGCTGCGCAAATGACGTTTAGACACTGTCGTCGGACAACATGCAGTAATTTATAAATGTTTAAATCAGGTTGGGTCCGGATTAACCAGCAGGTGGATCTGGACCCTGGTCCGCTAATCCATGACCTCTGCTCTAGGCCGACACGTGTAGGGGATCAGGGTTGGCATATTCAGGGCATTAAAGGTGGGTCAGGCTTTCAGGCTTTCCTTCAGGTGTTCATGCCCACCTGTGATATTTGCAATGCATTTAGACACTTATGGTTTAGGGAGGGAGAGGTGGGGACACACCTCCCCTCCCCCTGTTTTTAACACATAGTAGTCCAACAGGCATAAACACTGCCTGGCTGGGCCCTTGGGGGCTCGTCAAGGCTTGGCTGTGGTTTCTGGCTCTCCATGGGAGAACAGAACAAAAAAAAAAAATAATTCAAAAATAAGATATTTCACCTAAAGATATATTGAAACTATGCCGTACGGCAGTCATTATGCTGCTTTTGCACATCAGGCAAATACATAAAAGATGTCCAAGCAAAAACTGTCTTCCGAGCATGGGCAAGTAATTACTCCGGCAGGATGTGTAGTAGACCTTTACTCAGGCTGACGTTTTTCATTAGAGTACTGTATGAAAAGGCTAATGAGCTGCACAGTGTCAGCAGATGGCAGCGTGCTGGCCACAAACTTTTAATTTGACGCTTCTGGTGTCTATCATGAAAAGAAGAGAGCCAGCAACTGGAGAAGCCTTCAGGGTGACTGTCAGTTTGTACAATTCACCAGCAGCAGCAGCCAGTAATGTGGCGTTGCTCCTTCTGCTCAGCCGACTTGAAACGAATGGGTTATTTAGAGCCTTCTTCATTTGCACTTGTGGAGGAAGGGCCCAGAAGAAACGAGAAGCCCCTGACGTTTCAGTGTTAGATGTGGTTAAGTATCTAATTCACTCCTTGTTTTGCCACCTCGGTGGGTGCAGCACCTCTTTGTATCTTTACACGTAATTGTCACTTGCTGCATCAGCATCGAGCAGATCCAGACATGCCGTTGGTGGTAGATATTTCCCTACCAGAACCTTGTAAAAATAGACGTGCACGCATATTTTGTGCTGCACTGCTTTTCAAGCACGGCCGGTTTGCACTGGATGCTGTTTAAGCAGAGGGAGCTCCAGCAGTGGGACCAACAGACCGGGAAACTTTACTCAGCTGGTGTGACTTTTTATAGCCAGTGTTCTAGCAAACAAGCTGTCACCTCTTAGTTTACATATCCAGAAAATACAGAAAAAAGACTGAAAAGGGGCAAACACTACTGTTGCTAAGGGGTGCAAACGGCATGTGAAATTATTAGATATTTACAGCTAATTTAAAAGACCCTGCATGCTCGACCGACAGACAAGCAAATGCAGAAATTAGCATCACACATCAGGCAAATACATTAAATGTGAATTATCTCCTTTGAGTTTTTTTAGAACAATTCTCTTGACTGAGGCTTATTTGTAACGTGCAATTAAAGCATTAGCATCAAATAAATAAAAACAAATAATAAAAGAAACTAATTTAAACAAAGTTGTTTTAATTAAATAGAAAAACGTAACGTTGAAAATCATTTAGTCCTGTTTAATTGCTAGAGGAATGTTTATTAACTTTATAATAATAAAACCCCTTATGATTCCCAGCTATTTCATTTTCACACATTTTGATTTCTTTGGTTTTCTCTTTCACATCACCCAACTTAAGTTCGCTTTACAGATTCTCTATCTGATTCTAGTCAGAAAAAGTGTGTGGGTACCATTTAAACATAACTTTAAAACCTAAACCTGTAAAGTGTATGAATTATTTTAGGCCCAATCGTATGTTTTTCGGTTAATAAATGAAAAGGTGTGAACTACTTCTAAATACATGTTACAGAAAGCATCTTATGCATAACCTGGAGGTGAAAACAATGCCCCCAACACCTTCCTGCATTCCTTTTAAGCATGAACAAGATAGAGAGGATTTTTTCTGGTTTTATTTATTATTTAGTTGAAAAAAAATGTGGGTAGTTATAGTACAAACACATCAAAATTTATCAATCATTACAGTGAAATGTACAACCCTAGAAAAAACGCTCAGTCTTTAAAGTGTAACATTTCCAGGGCTAACTTCCTGGCGGCATCATGTCCCAGCATGAAAACCACTTCAAGCTCCAGGTATCACATTCTTTTGACATTGCACACTAAGATGGATCTGTTGCCAGAAAAAAAAAAAGGTTGAGAAGTTCCTTTGTAGCGGGACGCTGTCTCCTTTTCACAGACAGAAAGGTTTGGACTCCCCCTCAGATGTCAATCTCAGGTACGCCACCTATGAAACACAGCAAACACAGAAAGCTCGTAAAAAAGCACAGTAAAAATTAAATGTCTGCTTCCTCAACGCCTTTTTAAAAAAATATTCCTTTAAAGCTTAAACAAACTCATCATCTCTTGCTTATTAGGAAAGCAAACTATCTGTTTCCTTATCTTGGAAAAAACGAAAAAAGCAGACGGCAGAGATCTGACCAACTTTAAAACCACATGCTGAGGTAAACAAAGCACAGAGAAACAAATGTGCTCAGCGCCGTCCTCTCCCTCCATCTGCTCCTCCTGGATGTCTGCCTGCTGCAGACCGTGGCTGCGCTCCACTGAGAGCTGAATATTGGGAAGATGGATGAGGGCATTTGCCACACTCAGGGCCTTGTCTCCTCCATGCACGTGACAACGTCTGTTCACCACTCAGCTGTAAATTCATACAAATGATACAAAATGGCTACTTGAGGGTCCATGAGAGGGGAGAATGTGAAACCAGAGTCCAAACAGTAGAGCTGGGATATAATGACAGGAGAGAGCTGATCTATTAGGAGGGGGAAAAACACTAGATTTAGGAAAAGAAAGGTTTGTTGTGATTAATACAAAAAAGAAAGTCATACTATATATCGCTGGTGATGAAATAAGGTTTAAATGTCTACAATGTTCCATTTCTGTGTTTGAGTTTGAAAACAGGTTAAAAGTCTGAGTGAGAAGCATCAATGTTCTAAGACGTGGTAGCTCAGGTTCTGTTCATTCTAGCATTCATGTCCTTCGCTCTAAACAGTCCGACTGAGCTGAATAAACTGAGATGAAGCAGATCAGACTGGGACCATGGCGCAAGTTGGACTCAACCAACCCATATTAAAGAAGAGTGGCACCAAAATGCACCCATTTTCTCTTCTTAAGGGCTGGTTATCCTCCAGCAGCAGTGTGTCGCAGATGTTTTTGATTTATGCCCAATATTGAAGCGTGGTGTGCGCTGTGTTATTTCACGCCACAACGTGAGAGGGACAATCACGAACTAGCTGTGGGTCTAGATACGGCCGAGGCGGTGAGGAAGTGGGGGCAAGTTTGTCTGACAATGGAGGGACATGAAGGAGAAAAAGAGCAGGGATCCAAGTGGAAAAAGGGTCCCAGCGTTCCACGCACCTCGCTCTTCTAGCTGGTCCATCTTCACCAGTCGTTTTCCACAATGGCATACAAACAAAACAAGCCGGTAAGGCACCAAAGAGGAAAAACGCATAGTGTAGAGCGGATGTAGATTTGACCAATCAGAGGCCTCCTGTCTGCGGTCACCTACAATTTTGGAGAGGTGCAGCGGAGTGTCTGCAGTAGGGGCGGAAGCGCATTTGCGTTAACTGCGACACACACGCAGACGACCTAGTTTTAAATCAGCATTTAGACTTCTTTTGGTAAAAAAACAACAACGTAGAAACAAACATTTGGACCTGGTGACATATTGTGATTCCATCTCTTGACTTCTAGAGACAGAGAGGTGAAAGGTGAAGGAAGGGGCACCATGGGCAGGAGAAGGATACTGAGCTCATTCCTGAACCTATTAAAGACTGTGTTCAGTTCATGGGCTCTGTCCAGACGTCAATCTAGCAAAACATCCTTCTGCTCTCTGATACTGATCTGTAGGAGCTTGCATGTAGGGGAAGAAGTTCCCATTAAATTTCACCTGATCCGCCCCCTTCTAGGTTTGCAACAAACTGCAAACAGGACATCTAATAGTATTCTTTCAGGCATTGTTTTCTTCCTCTTTCCCATCCTTGGGGCTGAATTTGTTTAGTGCATGACTAATAGTAGACATATTCCCCCATCTGAGCTATAGATCTCAGCTGCTCCTACAGAGTTATGGGCCTGGATTGGTTCCTCTGATTAATTACTCCACAGAGAGTCCAGGGTTCTTGTTTAATAAGCTTGCCCAACTTTCTTCCTGACCTGTCTGCTTTGTTCCTTTGTCTTCATGATGCTGTTTGTTCACTGATGTTCTCTAACAACCCTCTGAGGCCTTTACAGCAGAGTTTGATTCATGCACATTCCACTTTTTACTTATAGGCCAATGCATGCACTTTTTCTTGAAGTAAAACTGTTACCCCTAATAAAACATTAATGTATGTTAGCAGAAACAGACACTGCCCTTCATTCTGAGTAGGCATATTCAACACGTGTATCCGTTTTTTTTACGGTATTATTGTAAAAAATTTGAAGGACAAGGGTTGGACTGAAAGTTAGTGCTGCCATTAACATAGCATGCAAACTTCATTGGGGAATACCAGCAGCTGGATGAAAGATTGGTTCAGGCATCAAAGTTACAAGGCTAACCCTCTTTCTCAGTAGGTCTTTTTTCCCCTTAAAGGAATCAATGAGACTAGTATGAAAAGCTGCACAAAAAGGTTTTTCAGATACATTTACAACTGTAAAAAACAAACTGAAGGGAAATTCAGGGTTTCTGGTGGTTTCTTTGTCTAACTTACTGAGCATAATATGCTTAAGGGGCTTTAGCCCTTTGATTTTTCCTGAACCCACTTAAGAAGAAGAAGCATATCAAGTGCTTCAACTGTCCAGAAGCACTTTAAAACAAAGCTTCTACTGCTGCACTTTTCTAATGGGCACTTTTATTTTTGGTAGTAAAGGTTAGCTAGCCTAGGCTCTCTCTCTCTCTCCTGAGTTTTTCCAACTCTTTTGAAATCTCCCTCTCCTCTCTCCTGCTCTCTGTATCAGAGAGATATTCAGTTAATCCTCTGCCTCCTTTAGTAATAATGGTATGTGTAATAAGTATAGTATTTTTGTAGCTTTGGACTCAAGCGTATCAGAGTATGAGCCCCGATTTCCAGCTGTTTAGCATCCAGGAATTGCAGTAGCAGCCATTCAAAATGGCCCTTTCCTGCAGCACCCAGCGATATCCCCTCCATCTTCCAGCCCCCTCGACTTCTCCTGATGTGCATTTTTTTTTTACTCTGACTCCACCCTTTCACTGAATTGCAGGGTCTGACCAGGAGATGACGCTTCTCTTTAGATCTTAATGTCCACAAATTATGACAGAAAGAATATTTTAGTACAAAGACTGATGTTTAAAAAGGAATTGTAGGGGTCTGGCCAAGGACCAGCCAATGGCCCATCAAGGAAAGTGAGAAAATTGTGAATGGCTACTACTGTAGACTAGGCCCACTAGTCAACAGCCCAGAGCCACCCAGACCGGGGACATGTCCATGTAGTGGTCCTCCAATAGTTCCTAAACAGCCAGGCGATTAGATGACGGTATGCAGAATGCGTAGTCGCAGATCTTGGCCCACTGGTCACCATCAACCCATCCACATTTCTAGCTTATTTTCCTTGCCCAGTGAGGCACCCACGTGGAAGCCCACTAATTTATTAATTGGCAGCTCCATATTTAGAATTGTGGGATTAAAGAGACCAGTGACCATAGTCAAATGTTTGCCTGTGGCCAGAACAGGCAACATCACATTCTACCTGAAACTGCTGGCTAAGGATGAGGTTACTTACTTAGTAAATTATAGACCTATATCTAATCTTCCTTTCTTATCTACAATTCTTGAGAAAATAGCTGCTAAACAAGTGTGTGACCATTGACACCATAATGAACTCTTTGAAGAGTTTAATTCAGGTTTTAGAATGAAACATGTGAGCTCAACTTAGCACTGAAGCAGCTCTGGTGAAAGTCATTGGATTAATTTCCATTGTTATGTGGATGATACCCAGCTATATCTGTCTATAAATCCAGATGAAGTTAACCCATAATATAGATTAACAGGCATGTCTTGAAGACATAAAAACCTGGAGGACTCTTAACTTTCTCCTCCTAAATGCAAACAAAACAGAAGTTATAGTCTTTGGACCAGAGTCTTTGAAAAAGAAGCTGATTAGTCAGTCACTTCATTTGGATGGGATTAAATTGATTTCAGATAATAAAGTAAAAAATCTTGGTGTTATTTTCGATCAGGACCTGTCATTTAAATTCCATATCAAAGAGGTTTCTAGAATTTCCTTCTTTCATCGGCTCAATATTGCAAACATTAGAAATATCCTGTCCAGGGGTGATGCTGAGAAACTAGTCCATGCATTTGTTACTTCAAGGCTGGACTATTGTAATTCTTTACTATAAGGAAGTCCACAAACTGTAGTAACCCTTACTGTACTAACCCTTCAGCTGATCCAAAATGCTGCACTTAAGAGTTCTGATGAAAATAAAAAATAGAGATCATATCTTTCCTATCCTAGCTTCTCTTCATTGGCTTCCTGCTAAATCCAGAATAGAATTTAAATTCCTCCTTCTCACATATAAAGCCTTAAATGGCCAAGCTCCATCTGATATCAGAGATCTAATTGTTCCTTATGTTCCTAACAGAGCACTTCACTCTCAATCTGCAGGTTTACTAGTGGTTCCTAGGTTATCCTGAGCTATCTTTATATTTATGCTGCTATAGGCTTAGACTGCTGGAGAACATAGGGACCCCTATTTCATCACTCTGCTTCATTCTACAGTATCTCTATTCTCAAATTCTGAAGTATTTGTTTGTTTAACCTCTAACATGTATGCTCTCTTTTCTTTTTTCCTCATCAAAGTAGCTTCACCTGGTCTGTTCCTGTTTGGCTGTGACACCATCCTGGAAAGAAATATCAGCTGTGTTTCTGTCAACAACACCTTTGTTTATAGATGGTGGAGCTTGGTCTGTTTTTCCAGTGTAATCCTACTTATCTTACTGTGACTATATGTACACTCTTTCATCCTCTGACATGGGAGCTGGCTGGGAGCTTGCCTGCCTGGCTGTGTGTTTCCTGGACGGGGCTGCTTGTGGAGCTGGTTGATAGTTGCCTTTTGTATCTCTGCTTCTGTCACCTTTAACCCCAGTCGGCCTCTGCAGACGGCCACTCACACTGAGCCTGGTTCTGCTGGAGGTTTCTTCCTGTTAAAATGGAACTTTCCTCTTCACTGTAAGTCTGAGCCTTTAGAGGCACTAGACGTTATTAATACAACTATTAGCTTAGTTTGAT